GGTATGTCTGCGGACTTACAATGCTAGAATCCGGGTTTCGATACCAGTGGTGGGCAGAGCACAGATAGCCCATTGTGTAGCTTTGTGCTTAAATACAAACAAACAAACAATACATCCTGTTGAAGTTGAGGATATCAAAGATAACAGCAAGGAGATTGAATCCATTTGAGTTTCTATTAGTCGAAATAAAGGGAAAATCTTTTAGTGGAAATTTGTGAGAAATTTACATTGAGATTAAGATTTCAGCTGTTAATGAGGTCATAATCATGGGTGATTTTAATTTCAGGCATATAGATTAGGAAATGCTAGAGTCAAACCATAAAAGAGAAATGTTTTTGTAAACTATTTAAGATGGTTTTCTTCATCAACTTAATATATTCAAAATAAGTCAAAGGTTTGTACAAAATATTTGTTACACTGTTGATTATCACAGTTGTATCAAGAGCTTTAAATATTTGTCTCTTTTTCACCAAATTCCACACAGATGGGTTCAATTACTTTAGAACACCCTTTGACAAGACATATTATTCTCCTCTATCTCTGTTATTACAATACAAGGCTGTGATACTCACATTAAAATCACCACAATAACTGTTGGTTACCACAGTTGTATCCATAGCTTTAAATAATTGTCTCCTTTTCATCAAAGCTCACACAGGTTTATTCAACAAGCTTTGACAAGACAATTTTTTCTCCTCTGTCTCTATTATTACAATACAAGCTGTGAAACTCACTTTAGAAACTCATGTTATTCATAACAATTGAACTATGCAACAAATGATGTGTAAACAGTTTCATAATCAAACCTGCAACAAATTATCATTTCTAAAAATACTAAGTTTAACACTTGTCATTATAACTATGTGAATCATAACTCTTGTATTAAATTTAAATGAAACAGTTGTTTGTATCTAACACTCCCCTTCTCTTTAGTACTCTATCCCTATTGAATAACCTTTAACCCTGTATTTCAAAGAAATTTCTGTCATCAAAATCATCTACATTTAACCATGTTTTAGTTATTCCAATTATATCAAAATCTTTCATTCCTACCAGTGCCCTAAGGTCATCTGTTTTATTTCTTATACTTCTATGATTACAATAGTAACAATTAAGCCTATCCTTAGAACTACTTTTATACTCAATTCTTAAGCTAAACTTTTCTCGCCATTTTTTTTTTTTTGCATTTAGTTTATTGTGAGCCTCACCACTAGCAAGTCCTAGTTTAAAACTTCCCTTACAGTTGAGCTAATAGCTCTTGTGAACAAGCCAGACCCTACTCTATTTAAATATAAACCATCCATTCCAAAAAGCTCTCTTCTCCCA